TTTCTCCCTTTAGATTCCGAAAATAATTATTTCTATTTGATCTTTCCCATTTGATACTCCTTTGTCCGACCTTGAAAACCCTAAACTTTGAAATTCTTTAAGACAATACATTCTTATCTTAATCGAGAGCTTTCTTAGGCGATTTTAATTGTTTAAGATGCAATTAACTATAGAGTCTTGCTCTTATAGGAAACTTTAGAACCCATCGTAACATAAACTAAGTCTAATCTTTTATATTAGATAGGGGGATTTGTCGGTCAACATAAAGGTTTTGCAAACTAAAATGGATATCATAAATTCTTTAGTTTATTTAATCGAGTCTTACTATAAAGTAACATGTCTATTACCTGGGATAGATGTATTACTTGTAGTGTTGTGCTTGTTTATTTAAACTATTGCATGTATTAGATCAGTTACGTCTCATACTTTCAAAATTTACAATATTACTTTTCAAATATATATATATAATATTTGAGTGGTATGTGTTGATATATATATATATATATATAATTTGTGTGTGCGTGTGTGTGCGTGTGTGTGTGTGCGCTAAAGTAAATCAAATATCATCATCTTCCCTTGTTGACGACCGACATGCTCCAAAATATGTTATTTGCTTTTCAACATCTATTAATATTTCGACTCAACAAAATATTATTAATGCTTTTAGTTTTTATATGAACCCGTTATCGTGGAATTATCTTGGCGTCATTATTAAGCATTCAGTATTATTTTTTGATTGTCAAAGCTTTTTGATGAACTTCACTTTTTTAGCTCAATGGTTGGAAATGAAAATTACTACTTCAAAATTTCATATTTATTTATTTTTAGTTATTTATATTATTGGTTTTATTCCTCTGTTCTTCCTAATCATTTAAGGAAGAAAAATTATTCTTTAATTAATAATTTCCTCAATCATAATGGTAATGGTAAGAAGTTTCATACCATTGGGTGGAATGTTAGTAATTTGCCTAAACATCTTGGTGGTCTTGGTTTACCTTCTTTGAATAACATAAATGTAATGTGTAATTCTAAATTTTTGTGTTTTTTTTTTAATTCTTGTTCTTTCTTTCTCATTGGTGTTTGAACCACTATGGTTTCATTTGACATAAATTCCAGATTTTTTCTTCTTTTTTGGAAAGACATTATTAAAATGACTCTTAAAATTAAATTCTCTTTAGCTTTTCAGGTTTCTAATAATAGTAAATTATTTTTCAATTTTGATCCTTGATTTTATGGTGCTTATATTTATGAGAATTTTAGTTACATTATGTTTGATTGGTTTGATTTACCTCATAATACTAAGTTTTGTGATTTCATTTTCAATAATTTATGGGTTCAGTCTTTCTCCTCTATAACTCCTAATTTCTGCATTGAAGCCATTCATAATATTACTATTATTGATAGTTTTACTCATCTTTGGAATAATTAAAATCCTTATTCTCATAGAGCTATTAAGTTTTATCTTCATTAGTATTAAAATCCTTGTTAATTCTACTCATGGTCTTAGTTCTAATGATATTGAAACCATAACCATCTATTTTTTAAATGTCCACTATCTCATTATTTACTTAATAAATGTATTTCTCATGATGTTTCTTTATTTGTCCTTCTAATAGTACTCAATTTTTATATCATTCTAATTCTATCTCGTGCAAAGTTTTTAAAAGATTTCATTTCTTAGTTATTCAAATTATTGCCTTTTTTACTATGAAAGAAATTATAGAATTTTAAATTTTCATTGCTTTTCGATTGAGGTTATTATTCATAATATTCATTGGATGGTTAAGAAATAAAGCAGGAAATGGAAATTCAATGAGCATACTCCTTTATGTTTAAAAAAGTTTTATAATTTTGATTGATTTTTGCTATTTTTTTTTGCGGTTTTTCTGCTATTTTGGTGGTTCTATTTATTTTTTTCTTAGTTATTTTTTCTCTTCTTTATTTAGGATTTTTTTGATTATGTTTCTATTGTTGATATTGTTTTTGTTGTCTTTGGAGATTTATCTTTTAGTTTGTATTTAGGTCTTGCTTTTTTGTTTGTATTTTGGAGTTTTTTGTATTGCAATTTTTTCAATTATTTATTATAAGTTCTTTTTGAGGTCTTGGTTTTTGGTTTGATTTGCTATTTTCTTTGAGTTTTTTTATTATTCAGGCTTTTCTCTTGTTTCCTTGACTTTGTGGCTATTTTTTTTAGTTTTGTTGTTCCCTTTCTTATCAATGTGTTTTTTCTTTCTATTGATTTTTTATCTTGGTGATCTCAAATAATTTATTTTTATTTATTATGTCTGGAGAGAATTTTTTCAACCATTTAATGAAGTTTATAATTGTATTTGTGTTTTTTTATTATTGTTTCATTATTGTTCATTGGTTTATTTTGTTGTTGTTTTTGTTTGCTTGCTCTTTTTGTTTTAATATTGAGAGATTCTCTTGTTGGCTTTGTTTTAATTTTATTGTTTATTTTTTGTTTTTTTTTTGTGTATTGTGGATTTCTTTTGTTGGTTATTTTTGTGATTTTTGGTCTTGGTTTCTAGTTTTGGATGTACCTTTTATTTCCTTTTGGGTTTGTGGTTGTTGTTATTTTCATTTTGGTGGTTTTTGTTTTTAGTTATTTAAGTAGTTTTTTGAGTTTTCAGTTACTACTTTTGTTTCATAGTTATCATGATTGTTTGTTGGTGTTAGCCATGATGTAACATTTCCTAACTATGAGAATTAACTATTCTTCTGAAATTCTATTCTAGTGATCTCAAATACTTTATTTTCTTCATTCAATTTGGATGAAATTTTTTCAATAGTTTAATCAAGTTTATAATTTTATTTGTGTTATGATTGGATACTCTACCCTCTAGTGGGTGTTTTTATCTTAATCACCTTAATTGAGAATTTGTTTCAAATAATTGTTGCTTTATCTTCTTTTTGAGAATTTATATTCTTAGAATTTGAAAGTATTCTCTGGGTTATGATTATGGGTTTGGTTGAGCTCTTTATATATATATATATATATATATATATGTAGGGGAAGGATCATTATGCGGCTCCACATATATTAATCTAAAAAGGAGTTACAAAGTGTTGGTGATATTGGATCGTCATTGCTAATAATAAAAAAATGATACAATACTAACTCCTAGGGGGTCCATCACCATAAAAAGTACAACTCCACGCCAAAATAATTTCCAAAAAAATTACAAGTATACCCATAAATAATAATTACAAGTATACTCCAAATATAAAAAGAGGAAATCCAAAATTGTACCACAGTAGACCCAAAAATTTGTACATGAGAACTTCAAAGCAAGGTCAGGAGGAAAACTGCAATGACCAATACCACAAATCAACAACCTGCATTCCATAGTAAAAACATAAAAGGATCCAGGGGCTCCAGCATGAGAGAATAAGAGTAAGATCCCAACATCGAAAGGTGCATTCCCAAACTATAACAGAATTTCACAAGCAGCTGAAAGAAAACAGAAAAAAAACAGTAGTATTCCCTAAACATAGTAAAGCCAAATGCCGTGTGACTTTGAAACTGTGTGAGGAAAGATGGAGAGGAGATAGGAAAATGGATAGATCAACACAATATCCAGTCTAGCTCCTAATATAAAGAACATCCAACATATCACCCATAATAAGTGTACTGAGGTAAGGAGCAGGTTTTAGGCCAACAAAAATCCCAGCTGCACCATGTTTTGCCAAACAATCAGTTGAGGAATTACCCTCCCTATAGATGAAACTGAATTTAACCATAAGTTGATGTGTGGTAATCATGCCCCATATGCGATTAACAATGCATACGAGGTACCAGACATGCTTTGTTGCCTTAGTAAGAATTTCAAAAAGAAGGTTTGAATCAATTTCTATATGAATATTTATAAAGTGAAAAGAAACAACCACTTTTATCTCTTTTTTTAAAAAATTATGTTTTGTTTTATTTTTCACTTTTTGTTTGTTTGTTTGTTTGTTTTTTTTTGTATTGTTATTTAGTTGGTTTCTTTGGATCCAGTTTTCTATTGATTTTTCTTATCATTGGAGATTTATCTTCAGCTGTGATATATATGTGGAGATAGATTTCGACTAGATATTTATATCCTTGATGAAGGGTTTGTATTGTTATTGCTTCTTTCTACTTGCTCTTCTTCCCTTTGTGGTTTTTGGCCCAGTCATAGTTCCTAATTGTTGAAGTCAATAGTGTCATTTTTCTCTTCCTATTTTTTTTGTCCTTTTAGGCTTGGCAGTTGGTTTGTTATTGTTGATTTTATGTGTTTTTTTTGTGTCTTAGAGTGAGTTAATTTTGTCTTAGAGTTATATAACTCCTTTTTTTATTTTATTGTTGGGCGTGAACCTCACTTTCTTACAAAAAAAAAGTAAGATAAATTTGACAACAATATATGAGATTCAATTACTTTCTTGCCAAAAAATGACTTGACACTACGATTGGCTAAATTGATCGACTAAATAAATATTTAAACGATATTAAACCAAAACAATGAATTATGAGGCATATAAGGTTAAATTTCACTAAAATTGTAGCTAGTACTAAAAAATATTCTCAATCATATGAAAATTGAGAAATAATTTTCTTTAAATAATAGTTTTGATAGCTTCACAAAAAATTTTAATTTTTTCATTTGTAATTCAGTATCAAAATATTTTAATTATTTATATACTAAATAAATTTTTATTTCATAATACTATTAGTATATTGAATTCCAATATCACTCATTTCATACTTCTAATAATTATACATAAGTAACAATAATTTTTATCAAATAATCCCATTAAGAGTTTTTAGTTATCTCAAATCATAGCAACCCATCATCCTGCACACTCTATAATAAAATGCACAAATAATGGAGCGCAATAAAAATGAAAAGGGCACCATACACACACCGCCAAAAAGGTCCCATCGCTTTCACGTCCCCCCACGCATTCTTCACGCGATTTTTTTTAATATTCTCACATAATTATGTGAACAATCCCTTAATTTAAATTATTATGACCTCTCCTCTTCCAATGTTTTCATAAAGTTATCAGCTTTCCACCGATCCGATCCGATCCACCGCCAAGCAGAGTTACAGAAAGAGAGATGAAGCTCCAGTGTGATGTCTGCGGCGTGGAAACCGCCTCTGTTCTCTGCTACGCCGATGAGGCCGCTCTCTGCCGCCGCTGCGACGAGGGCGTCCACTCCGCAAATAAGCTTGCTGGCAAGCACCGCCGCGTCTTTCTTCTCCCCCACCCCTTACGAACCCTCCCACTATGCGACATCTGCAAGGTACTTAATTTACTCACCGATCCAAATCACAAAACAAAATAAAAAAAGTTAAACTTTTTTTCAATATTGCTGCATATTCTTACAGGAGAAAAAAGGCTTCGTTTTCTGCCAAGATGAGAGAGCCATACTCTGCAAGGACTGCGATTTTCAAATCCACGCGACTAACACCAACACCAGCAAGCACATGAGGTTCCTCTTCAGCGGCATCAGACTTTCCACCACCCCAATCCCCTCGGCCTTCTCTTCCACTACCGAAAATGATAATAGTTGCAGAAGCACCATATCTGACTACTTGATGAACATGTTACCCGGATGGCGGGTCGATGATTTCCTGTTTGACGATGTAGCCTCCACTGGGAACTTTTCCGGCTGCCACTTGGTATGATTAAAAGAATCACCTTTCAGAATTTATATTCGATAAAAAGGTTAACTAACATCTGCAATCTGTTTTGTCGTTTAGATATCAGAGAAAGCAGGGGAAACCCAGACCGCTGGCAGCGAGTTGGCTAAGATGGAGGATGTACCAGTACGTGTAAGTTCATCCCCTGCTACACAGGGTTCTGCCATGGCTCAGGAGCGATTGTGCGCACTGGTGGATACAGTGGAGTGGGGTCGGAATGAGTGGAATGAAGAAGTTTTCATGGTTCCACAGATCCAGTACCAACACACAAGTGAAAAGAGATTCATGGCATCTTTTTTGTAGTAGCTGGTTGCTGGATTTACCTCTTTTGATGATGAATGTGCTGTTTTTTTTCTTTTTCTTCAAGTTTTTGCAGTTTTATTGTGCAATGGAAGCCAGTGAGACTTTTTTTGTTGATGAATTTTGGAATAAATTTGCCAGGTTTTTGTGAAGTGCACCATCATTTAGGGTTGTGATAGAGAAACATGATTACTGAAAATGATAAATTATTGAATGGGAGAAGGGTTTTTCTGTCGGATGCAATTGTTTGAGGTCTTTTTGTCAGCACGAGAAATCGCTTTGTGTGAGGAGTCACCGTTTTTAATAATCTTTTTCCTCTGAAATTTGCTGTGCATGCATGTGGCCGGTCTCTACTTCTCACAATGCAAAAATTGGTCATGATAATATTTTGGGATAATTACATGGGGAGCTCCAAAAGATATTTGCATGCACCAAGATGAATTTTTGAACGATCAAAACAATGGATGAGTTTATAGGTGCCATGAATAAATGATTGAGCATTTGGTAAGAATGAAAAATATGATTGAGATTTTATCATGAATACTGATATTTGAGTGAGAATTTGCAAGCATGAATCTATCATGAATACTAATATTTGATATGTAGATACACAAGTGTAGTGTTATGTATATAAATGTCATAATTTTTTAGGTTAAAGTTGAACAAAAATATTAAAAATAGATGATAAATACTTAAAACTAATTATGATATCTATTTTATTAAAATAACATTTACCTCTGAATAATTTATTTCATAATGTTATCTTTTTTTCATTTGATATAATAATATATTAATATATTAGAGTAGAAAAACTTAGTCTCATAATACCAATAATTGATTAAATATGCTTATCATTTTTATTCTTTGAGAAATATGATTGAAAGTTTATTTAGGATAAAAATATCCTTGCTATATAATGATACAATTCAAAACTCTTGTGCAAGTAGTAACACCAATTTTAAAACAAGAAGTTGCTCCGACCTCTTACTAGCGCCTTATCTAATTTTAAGATCATCATTTCAGTGTGAAGGGTTTAAGAGAAAAGTCCATGGCAATTTTTTCTTGCCAATCTCCTTCTTTGTATGCATATTTAAGTTTAAAAACATCATTTGTATTCAAACATTGAATATAGATATTTGTTATTACATGATCATGTTTCAATCATGTTTGAAACATATTCAAACATTGATTATGTATTGATCAAACTTGGTTTAAACCCTTTGTACTTTTAAACAATGTTCAAATAAAAATAATGCGATCATGGTTTGAATATGCTCCAATTATGATTCAAACAAATTTGAAGAAGTTTTTAACAATAATTGAAAAAAGGTTCAAATATGAAATAAAGATCCTTTGGTTCACGCATACTTGAATTAATATTCAAATAAGGATTGAATAAGGTCTGAATATGATTCACTTGATTTTTTTTTCCTTTATGCTTCACATGAGGTTCAAAACAAGATTTTACAATGTTCAATTATGATTGTAATAAGGTTTGAACAATGTTCAATCACTCAAATGAGGTTTTAATATTTATTGATAACTATTTAGGCATTATTTGATTTATAGTAATTTGCCTTCACTATATCTTTTAGAATTGACTTGGTTGTTTTACCATGTATATCAATATTATTTCCATTCATACTTATAGAAAAGAATTGTACTACTCGAATCATATATAGGTGTAAGGTGTGATGGTGAAGATTGTAAACAATTTAGAACTAATGAGTTCTTTCTGTCAATTCTCACACATCCCCCATTAAATAGTTTTTTTGGTGTGCTAAACTAATTTTCTCTGGGCTTTATTTGATTTATTTTCTTAAAAATGGCTAGCGACGATAAATATGAGGGCTATTCTATTAAGTCTAAACTTAGGCGCATGAACATTATAACTAGTATAAATAGATTTGTCTTGATTAAAAGGTTAGATTTTGAAGAAAACCTACTTGAAGAGGAATTCAAAAGCTTGGATAAATAGATGTTATCTCTTAGATAACTATTTGGATGGACATAAGCCTAAGAAACTCAAATTTTGGGAGGGAAATTTTGGTGTGCATTGAGAATGATGATGTTTGAAAGTATGGATTATATTTCTTCATAGATAGTGTACTTCTAAACCATGATACAAAATATCTCTTAATGATACGCTTGAATTGGTTAAAGTTGAGAATTAATTTTTAGGCATATACCCCTGGGTTAGGAATGTCATGAGAGATGAAAGGTATGGTTTAACTCACTTGCCCCAGGATCAATCACGATCTGGAATAATCTAGTCCATAAGTTCCTAGCCAAATATTTTCCTCCAACAAAGACATCCAAGCTTTGAAACAACATTACATCATTCACCCAGACAAATTACTTAGGAGGTGTCCAAATCAATCCCTACCTGATTAACTAATCATTGAAACCTCTCACAACGAATTGGTAGGTTCCCAAAGTTTCGTAATAGATGTTGTTGTAAGAGGATCCTTGATGTCTAAACTGTTTGATGAAGCCTACCAATTAATTGAATAAATGACCACTAATAATTTTTAATGGCATGGAAAGAAAGTGAAACCCCAAATGGTAGCCAATGTGCATGAATATTATGCATATTAGTTATCCTTGCTGGCCAAGTAGTTGTTATCTCCAAGAAGTCAAATCATATTGGGGTAAATTCAATGTCAGGACTACCATCAAGTGAAGGAATGATGTATGGGCCAGTGGTAGATCCTAACATGACCACTTTGGAAACTATGAATGATATAAGAAACCAAGGACACAATCCTTATTCAAACACCTACAACCCAGGCCGGAGATATCTTACATATTTCTCATAAGATAATAACAATCAGCAATGGAGAAACCCACGGAACAACCCTATAGGTAACTAGAAAAACAAAGGAAATCACCCTTAGAGGAAACAATACCCACTAGGATTTTAAGCTAACTTCTAACCTACTCAAAAGAAATCACCTATAGAGGAATTAATCATTCAAATGGGGAACACTTTACAAAGCTAAGTAGTAGCCATAAGAAATTTAGAAACTCATTTAAGTCAGCTGGTGAGTTTGATGAACAACAGACCCCCTAGAACACAACCTAACAACATTGAGGTGAACCCAAAAGATCATAACTTAGAGAAGTGCAAAGTAGTGGGAGTGAGGATAAGAGAAGAGAGAGGAGCAAGTCATAAGGATGAGATTAGCCTTATGAAGTCTAACTACGAAAGTTTTTCTCGATCATTAAGATTGACCTAACTGAGAGTTTCCCCTTTCATTCCCTCAAAGGCTACAAAAACCCATCAAAGATTCTGGTATTTTCACCATTCCTTATGCCTTAGGAAATGATTTTCACGGAAAAGTACTTTGTAACCTAAGAGTCAATGTTAACCTCATGCCTCTAAATATTTTTAAGCATCTTAGAAAAGATGAGATTAAGCTTGCTAACTCGGCATATCAATTTTTTGCTCATCCTCTAGGAATTGTTGAAAGCTTGTTTCTCATAGTACATAGATTCACCTTCCTCGCTGAATTTGTGATATTAGATCTGAAAGAGGATAGAGAAATGCATGTGATTTTTGGGATAACATTCTTAGTCGTTAGTAGGGCTATTATTGATATTCAAGGGGAGAAGATAATTTTAAGAGAAAATGATCAAGAAGTGACATTTGATATTTTAAAATCACCAAATATCTCCCTAGCCTCTAAAAATTATCAAACCAGAAGGTAGAAGTGTTGGCACTGGTAATTTAAAGTCAATCAATTATATTAGATGGCTAAACCCTTGAAGATAAAAGCATAATAGATGAATTATTTGGTAATTTGTTTAATGATGATGTTGTTGTTCCTTTAGTAAAAGTCCAACTTTTACTCCCTGGCGAATTAGGAGAACCCTTTAGCCTACACCTTTTGAGCAATGATGATTATTTGATGAGAAATGAGAGGGTACTGTAAAATCTAAGTTTGGGGGTAAGACAAGATTGGAATGTATGGGACAAATCTGAGAGAATAACACCATTTAAGGATAGAGGAGAGGATCCAAGGCAACTTGAATTTTTGATGAGTGATTGAGGATTATTGAGTGGGTAACTTGATCATGAAGACCTTGTTTAGGATGGATGTAGGAGACATGATCTGGTTGGGGACGTCAGACAAAAATGTTATATTGGGAGCGTCATCTTCTGATTTTTTTTATTTTGCAAGAGTTTTTTTTTGTATTTCTATTTCAGAGTCTAAGTCAGTGAAAGTGTTTGTTTGTTATATGTCATCATTGTTGATGTTTGGTCCCTATACGAAGTAGATGGTCTATCGAAGGAGATCACCAAATTTTTTGTGTGTTGACCTCACTTTTGGTTGAGGTTTAGTTTTTCCTCTTTAGTAGCCAAGGGTCTAGCCATAGGACTTTCCTGTTGACTATTCCTATAAAACTAGAAAAGGAACCCTCACCATTAGATATTCTACCCCTTCTTTGCTCAACGTGAAGCTCTACATATTGGTCCCAACCTCTAGCACTGAGAAGGTGGGGTCATTATGGGGGAGCTCAAGGAGAATTTCCATAGGATTATTTGACCTTAGGGTTGACCCTAGGAGTTGGCCTAGAGCTAAGGCACACACTTTCACTCACTACACTCACTCTCACTCATAATCACTCATAAACCTAAACCTAATATTTGTAAACTTTGATCCCTTGATCTATTGGGAGACACATGTAGATGGTCCCCTAAACACACTAGCCTTAGGCTAGGGTTTAGCTAAGACCAGCACATAGAGGACTCAAATGGGGAATTCCATTGGTCCATGGCTCATGTAGGATGGTTGGTACCCCAATTCTACCAAAATGTTCAACATGGCCTTTTAGCCCCAAATCCACCCAAAATACCCAAGTTTATCCAAAAATCAATTCAAAACTTTTGAAAATACCCAAATTACCCAAAACTACCCAAAAATTCCAATTTACTAAAATATCCCAAAAATTATAAAAGTGCTCTTGGCACCCCAAATTTTCCCACAACCTCCAAAATCACTCCAAATGTCTCCAAAGCCAATTTCAACCCTCAAATTAAACCCAATTTTTCCAATTTGACCATTTTGACCAAAACCCCCAAATTGCCTTTAAAGGCCCCCCAAATTGCCTTTAAAGGCCCGATTTCCCCAAATATTCCACAAATGTCCATCAATTT